CGTCAATGTTCGAGTTCAAGAATCACGAAATTCCTCGCGAACTCGGTATCGCACGTTTTCGCTCCTTGACGCGCACTAATAATTCTCATTCGCGATCATTTTTCGACTACTCGTGTGCGCCGTGTATCAATTAGGATCCGTCGCGCACCCCCCATTTTTGTGCCGATCGGAATCTTTATTCGTTTCCTTCTTAAGCCTCTTCTGTTTTCCTTTTCGCGCTCTTAGTTAGTAACACGCATTCGAGTAACAAAGATTCGTGTTCCACGTTGCGCCAGTCTTCGGTCGAGCTACCAAACTGCCGTACGTATAACCGTACGTATTACCACGTGTTCCGACGATTACGATTTTTCGGACACTCACCACAGAATCGATCTCGCGAACGGAGTGTCGCGCCGTCGCGGTCGGATCTTGATCGCTGCTACTTACCCGTCGCGAGAAGATTTCCGTCGCGTCCGCGAGCAGCACGTATGATCAAGGGCAAGATGTCCGTTCGTTCCGTACCGTCATTATCCACCGTTCGTTGAGGTCTTTATTTGCAAAAATAGATTTTTGTGCATAGTCGAATAAAGTGTGTGACACCAAATCTCCAGCTGTTAGCAGTCAATCTCTCTTTCCCTCTATTCCTGATTCAAAAACAACAACCTTGGTAATTAGCGCATTCCCCAACAATCATAAAAGAATTGTTCGTCTTTGGAGGCGATCCATTCATCGATTCATTTTCGGGTTTCTTCAATATTTCTGAAGTGCTGCTCAGAAAGGCCGTGCGCCATCGATCGAAACAAATGATAATCGGAAGGCGCAATGTCTGGTGAATATGGCGGGTGGGGACATAATTATAAGACATCCCATCGAAGCGCTTCCAATGTTTTCTAGACCGGCCTTGCAACATGTGCCTTTGCATTGTCATGCTGGAAAATCACTTTGCCGTGTCTTCTTGTTCTGGGCGTTCTTCTTTCAAAGTACGATTTAAATTAATTAGTTGTTGTCGATAACGTCCAGCATTAAGATTTTCACCGGATTTCAACAGCTCGTAATACACCACGCCTTTCTGATTCCACCAAATACACAGCATTATCTTAGAACTATGAATATTCGGTCTTGGCTGCGATGTTGATAGTTTACCTGGTTTTACATACGACTTTTTGGGTTTGGGATTATCAAAATAAACCCATTTTTCATCGCCAGTAATTATTCGATGCAAAAACGACTTCCTTCTGAATTTTTGAAACAGCAATTCACTGGTCGTCAAACGCCTTGCGATGTCTCTTTCTTTGAGCTCATATGGCACACATTTTCCTTCTTTGTGAATCATTCCCATGGCTCGTAAGCGTTTGTTGATAGTTGATCGATCAACATTTAATGCTTCGGTAAGTTGTTCTTGCGTTTGACATGAATCTTCATTCAATAAGCCTTCCAAATCTGTGTCTTTGAGCTTTTTTGGCTGACTAGAACGATGTTTGTCAGACACGTTAAAATCTACGTCTACGTTATCATTATGGTTTCTAAAGCATGTTTTCCACAAAAATCGCTTTGGAGGACTTTTCTTTTTCCTTTCTACATCGTTTGAGATCTTATAGTCTCATTTAAACAATTAAATAAATTGTTGATGACTAAGAAATAAAAATAAACAGTTATCTCATTTATTGTTTCAGCTACAACATATCATGTATGTACTACAAAAGTTGCAATAGTATGTTTGGAGGACAATATAAGTATAAAACATGATACTCTTCGTTGCAAACCTGCGGTCTAGGTATTATACATCTATGGTCCTTTCCCAGCATATGATTAGAGGTCACACGATTATTAATTATTATGTAATATTTAATTAAAAAAATTTCTTTATTAATAAAAATATGAAAGGTATCATGTTTTACACTTATATTGTCTTCCAAACATACTATTGCAACTTTTATATTCCATACATAATTTGTTGTAGCTCAAACAATAAATATAATAACTATTTATTTTTATTTTTTAGTCATCAACAATTTATTTAATTGTTTAAATCAGACTATAAAATTTTAAATGATGTAGAAGGAAAAAAGAAAAATCCTCTAGAGCGATTTTTGTGGAAAACATGCTTTAAAAACCATATTGATAACGTAGATAGTTTAATTCAAGGATACTCCAATTTAACAACACGGGGGCACATGTTCTCGTCATCCGATCGAGTAAAAGTTTAGCAGGGATTTTTCTTTTGTTAAATGGAAACTTTTTGGAGGGCGCCGTAGAAAAAATTTGAAAGTCGAAAAATAAGGACCATTCTAATATATATGAGGCATTCTTCGTCAAACCGGCCATCCCCTTTGCCCAAAATTTATATGGATCGATTGAGGTCAACCGGGGCTCAAATTTTAAGTGATCATGTCTAGTGTCGTTTGTCATCTGGCCTTTTGAGAAATTCATCATGGC